AAACAAATTTGAAACATTAGAAACATAAGTTAATATATTAATATCATCATGAATTGGTATGAATGAATGTAATACTTACTATTGTAACAAGGACTTCAACTCCGATTTTATCTTCCTATGAAGAGAACAAAACCATACAACTTGTGCTTTTTTTGGAATGATCACCATTAGTTGTCAATGTCCCTTATCATGTACCAACAAGTAGTGAGTTTATTGATTAAAATTTGAGAAAAGTTGACAATATTGGAAAACACATACGCATCAATGTATGGCACGATATACATCTCTCTATTAGACTCAGTCATCCATGTTTGCATATATGATTTTCTGGACTCTAATGTTTGCATATATCGATCCTTTTCTCAACTTATTTAATCTCGATGTCAATATGGATAGAGGATGATTATCGTCTTCTGTTTTCTCATGAGCCTCATTCACAGGTTGAGGCATTGGTTGTTTCTCAGGATGATAAACCTGCAAGTCACATTTACAAAAGTTAGGAATCATTTAATTATAACTTTAAGATTAAAGATAATAAAAATAAGAATATAAAATCGCTGGTTGGCCAAAATATGGCATGATCATAACCTTAGGCCAAGCTATAAATGTGCCTAAGGCCTCCCCCATGAATTGGATTTCAGATGTAGGCACTGGAACGAGAGCTTGCGGGTCTCTAACATCATCAATCGTTACCTGCGAGTGAGTGGGCAATAAAGGAGCACCATGAATCATTACATCCACTAGTGCAAAAACAGTGTATAACGTCACGCGTTCAACGTCAAATCACTCAATAGCCAACGTTAAAAATGACCAGTGACATTTTTGTAAATAAATGTAATTATTAAACGTCGTTTAGAGTTGTAATTCGACGTAAAAGGATATAAAATGTCGAATGCCCTAGCGTTAGATGTTAAAATGTTAGTGAATTCAACAAAAATTTGAGCGAAAAATTAAAAATTCAAGGAGAGACATGGTTAGGAAGGAAGTGGCCAAATTGAGGAGAAGAAAGGATTGAGAAAATTGAAAGTGCAGCTAAGTTACGTGAACGAAGGACTGACAAAAGATAATGAGTGAATATTGTGAAAATTGGAAGCAACAGGTGTTAATTATTTCCGACGGCACAACGTGGGTTTGGAAACTTGTGGAACATATTTTAACGAAATTTCTACCAACTTTCAGTCTATTTCGGTGGCTTGCTTTATTAAATAAAGAAAGCCGAGGTACTTATATCTTACATGAAAAAGGATTGTGAAAATTGGAGTGAAAAGAATTAGGGTGAGATCTATTTTCTTGGCAATGCCTTTACTTCAATATATCTGTTGTTGACCACACAAATTGAAGTTTCAATACCTGTTTTACATTTTTATATTTCTCGAGCTACCTCAAATTTATTTAAAAAGTTTAAGCAATTAACATAATAAATCAAGGAATATCTTAGATATACTAAAATAAAAATTCCTTATTGTTATACATAAATTTATATTCAAAAAATGACGGAAGGATAAAATTTAAAACACTAGTACGATTATTTTATTTTAACATATTTATATAATTGAATTTATTCATAAAGTGTAATAAGTTGTTTGAATGAGAAGTTTTTAGTTCGAAACGATTTTTTTTATAAAGCAATAGATGTTTTATAACAATTTAAATTTAAACATATAAGAATAAATTTGATTACTTAAAATGATAGAACCACAAAATTTATATAAAAAGTAAGAATTTTAAAATTTTAAAATTCATCATTTTGAGATTGTTAGTTTTAATCATGAAAGTTATATATTCTTTTATACGGTGGTTGATTAATTATATTTTTTTTATTATTGTAAGTTAAGATTTAATGCAATTTTCTCAACAATAAACTTCTATTCAAAGTTTCCTTCTTGTTTTTATGACTTTTAATTGCTAAAGTGTTAGGTTTCTTGAGTAATGAACACAAAAAATCACAAAAGACGGTTGAAAAGACACACAAAGTCGTGAAGTTTGCCGTCAAAACTGCTACAAAATCCGACTCAAAGAAAGACAATTACGGAGATGATCAATTTGCATAAAACTCTGACAATAAAGGACGAAATCTAATAGAAAAAAGGTTCTCAAAATTCTTAAGGTATAAAACAAAAGCTAACATAAATGTTGCAGGAAACACAGAGTCTACTAGGAAGCAAGACAAATATGTTGTTTCCAACTATTTTGAAGAAGAGAAAGAAGGACATCAAATTGAAGCAAAAATTGGAATAGGAAAGAAACAACATCGGTGAATCCAGCAAGGATCTTAAAGATGAAACAAATCTCGACTTGATGGATAGACCTACATCATTTGGAAGCAGTGAAGATAACAGAAAACGAACATATGTGGTATTTGGACAACGGTTGTTTGAGGCACATGATCGGAGAGGCTAAACAATTCAACAACTTATCTTCCAAAACCAATGGACATGTCACATATGAGGACAATAACAAGGATAAAATCATTGGTGTTGGTAAAATACAAATTCCTTCCTCCTATAATATTGAAAATGTTTTACTTGTTGAGGGTCGTAAGCGTACTTTGGTAAGTATTAGCCAATTGTGTGATAAAAGGTTAAAGGTCACTTTTGAATCAAATCACTATTTAATATGCCATGCATCATCACATGAGCTAGTAGGCAAGAGACATTAGAACCATATAGACTTTGTTCTCCAACTGAACATATAGACTTTGTACGACCGGCATTCAAATCATTTGTATTCAATTTCTTAAGTGTAAGTATCATAAATACATGTTATTTAAATCTGTCAATTTAGCATGATATTAAGAATACATATATATTATTCTTGAAAATATTATGATATTATATATGGATGATTGTATTAATCTTGACTAAAATCTTTTATTTTGACGGAATAAAGTTGTAATTTGTTGTTAATTTTGTCTGAATATTTACTCACTAAATTAAAACTTTGCTCTTCTAATATTTCTAATATTTATTAGGTTGATTGAGGAAATTTGATATGGTTGGATGATATCCAACCAAATCATATTTAAAATTTATGTAAATATGTTTAATTAAATACTATGTAAAGTTAATTAATATAAGTATATTAAAGATATGAAAAGATTCATTCTAGCACATTTTAACATGAAAATAACATGTAAACTAAATTAAAAATGTATATTAATTAATCCTGGAATTATAACATAATTTAAAGCATAAAAGTAAAAATAAAATGTTTGATTGCAAAATTAACTACTCAAAAGAGTTGAAAAAAATGTTTAACAAAATTTTAAAGTAAGCATAAATGAACGACTTAAATTACCTAATTAGTTTGTAAACTACATGGTCCTTCTATATGGTAGGTAAATTAAGAAATTCATAGAAGTATAGTTAATTTAAACTAGAAGAAAATTTAAAGCAATTTGAAATAAAAGAATATGTAAAGTAATTAAAATAAAAATACTACGTAAATTTGAATGACGGTAGTCAATAATTTTTTAAAAGAATTTCTTCCCAAATTTTGATTATGCAACGACCAATTTTCTGTTTAAAAACAAAAGTGTCTAACTCATAAGTAATAAGCTGCACAAAACTAAGCACTGAAATGGTAGAAAAATGAAAAAAAAAATAAAAATAATGAATGGAATAAATGTAAAAATAAATAGATAAATAAATTTAGAAGCCATTCACAATAACTGCTCCCAACTTCTCCTGAATTATCTCCCAATTTCTGTCTTATTATTTCTTTCTTTTGCTTCTAAGCAGTTACCCTTTGCAGAGGTTCATTTTCATGATGGCTCCCTTCCACATGCTGGAAGAAGTACCAACACCAAACCTGCAACACCTTTTCTCCTATTACATTGACCCAACTGGTGGTTCTCTTTACCCTTCAGATATTGACACTTCTCTCTATGATCCTTCCATTTCCCTTGCTCATTCTATCATCTTTCCAACTTCTCAACAAGATACTCTACTCCCATCTCCCAAACGCCAAAAGTGCTGCTGTGAGAGCGAAGTGCAAAAACTTACTACACAAACTGCCCTGCCATCCAGTTACACAGATGAATTTCTTGTGCCTTATGATAATTTCTACTCTTCACACATTGAGGAACTGCCACAACAAATATCAGTTGGGTTTGCACAATTTCATAGTACCTGTGAGGATCTTAAGTGTGTGAAAAAAGAAACGGAGAAAACAATATCTCCCCAAAGCTTAGCAGCACGAGAGAGGAGAAGAAGGATCAGTGAGAAGACGCAGCAACTAGGAAAATTGGTTCCTGGTGGACCAAAGATGAACACGGCTGAAATGCTTCATGCAGCTGCAAAGTATGTTAAGTACCTTCAAGCCCAAGTTAACTTGCTTGAACTCACAAAATCACTGGTAACTGTTCATTTCTTTTCATATTCTTTATGAATTAGATTACATATAAGTTGTATCATTTCTCCAACGATACGTTTTTGCTCATTTCCTGCGTAGTCATTATCTATTTGTCATTTGTCCANAGTTAAGATTTAATGCAATTTTCTCAACAATAAACTTCTATTCAAAGTTTCCTTCTTGTTTTTATGACTTTTAATTGCTAAAGTGTTAGGTTTCTTGAGTAATGAACACAAAAAATCACAAAAGACGGTTGAAAAGACACACAAAGTCGTGAAGTTTGCCGTCAAAACTGCTACAAAATCCGACTCAAAGAAAGACAATTACGGAGATGATCAATTTGCATAAAACTCTGACAATAAAGGACGAAATCTAATAGAAAAAAGGTTCTCAAAATTCTTAAGGTATAAAACAAAAGCTAACATAAATGTTGCAGGAAACACAGAGTCTACTAGGAAGCAAGACAAATATGTTGTTTCCAACTATTTTGAAGAAGAGAAAGAAGGACATCAAATTGAAGCAAAAATTGGAATAGGAAAGAAACAACATCGGTGAATCCAGCAAGGATCTTAAAGATGAAACAAATCTCGACTTGATGGATAGACCTACATCATTTGGAAGCAGTGAAGATAACAGAAAACGAACATATGTGGTATTTGGACAACGGTTGTTTGAGGCACATGATCGGAGAGGCTAAACAATTCAACAACTTATCTTCCAAAACCAATGGACATGTCACATATGAGGACAATAACAAGGATAAAATCATTGGTGTTGGTAAAATACAAATTCCTTCCTCCTATAATATTGAAAATGTTTTACTTGTTGAGGGTCGTAAGCGTACTTTGGTAAGTATTAGCCAATTGTGTGATAAAAGGTTAAAGGTCACTTTTGAATCAAATCACTATTTAATATGCCATGCATCATCACATGAGCTAGTAGGCAAGAGACATTAGAACCATATAGACTTTGTTCTCCAACTGAACATATAGACTTTGTACGACCGGCATTCAAATCATTTGTATTCAATTTCTTAAGTGTAAGTATCATAAATACATGTTATTTAAATCTGTCAATTTAGCATGATATTAAGAATACATATATATTATTCTTGAAAATATTATGATATTATATATGGATGATTGTATTAATCTTGACTAAAATCTTTTATTTTGACGGAATAAAGTTGTAATTTGTTGTTAATTTTGTCTGAATATTTACTCACTAAATTAAAACTTTGCTCTTCTAATATTTCTAATATTTATTAGGTTGATTGAGGAAATTTGATATGGTTGGATGATATCCAACCAAATCATATTTAAAATTTATGTAAATATGTTTAATTAAATACTATGTAAAGTTAATTAATATAAGTATATTAAAGATATGAAAAGATTCATTCTAGCACATTTTAACATGAAAATAACATGTAAACTAAATTAAAAATGTATATTAATTAATCCTGGAATTATAACATAATTTAAAGCATAAAAGTAAAAATAAAATGTTTGATTGCAAAATTAACTACTCAAAAGAGTTGAAAAAAATGTTTAACAAAATTTTAAAGTAAGCATAAATGAACGACTTAAATTACCTAATTAGTTTGTAAACTACATGGTCCTTCTATATGGTAGGTAAATTAAGAAATTCATAGAAGTATAGTTAATTTAAACTAGAAGAAAATTTAAAGCAATTTGAAATAAAAGAATATGTAAAGTAATTAAAATAAAAATACTACGTAAATTTGAATGACGGTAGTCAATAATTTTTTAAAAGAATTTCTTCCCAAATTTTGATTATGCAACGACCAATTTTCTGTTTAAAAACAAAAGTGTCTAACTCATAAGTAATAAGCTGCACAAAACTAAGCACTGAAATGGTAGAAAAATGAAAAAAAAAATAAAAATAATGAATGGAATAAATGTAAAAATAAATAGATAAATAAATTTAGAAGCCATTCACAATAACTGCTCCCAACTTCTCCTGAATTATCTCCCAATTTCTGTCTTATTATTTCTTTCTTTTGCTTCTAAGCAGTTACCCTTTGCAGAGGTTCATTTTCATGATGGCTCCCTTCCACATGCTGGAAGAAGTACCAACACCAAACCTGCAACACCTTTTCTCCTATTACATTGACCCAACTGGTGGTTCTCTTTACCCTTCAGATATTGACACTTCTCTCTATGATCCTTCCATTTCCCTTGCTCATTCTATCATCTTTCCAACTTCTCAACAAGATACTCTACTCCCATCTCCCAAACGCCAAAAGTGCTGCTGTGAGAGCGAAGTGCAAAAACTTACTACACAAACTGCCCTGCCATCCAGTTACACAGATGAATTTCTTGTGCCTTATGATAATTTCTACTCTTCACACATTGAGGAACTGCCACAACAAATATCAGTTGGGTTTGCACAATTTCATAGTACCTGTGAGGATCTTAAGTGTGTGAAAAAAGAAACGGAGAAAACAATATCTCCCCAAAGCTTAGCAGCACGAGAGAGGAGAAGAAGGATCAGTGAGAAGACGCAGCAACTAGGAAAATTGGTTCCTGGTGGACCAAAGATGAACACGGCTGAAATGCTTCATGCAGCTGCAAAGTATGTTAAGTACCTTCAAGCCCAAGTTAACTTGCTTGAACTCACAAAATCACTGGTAACTGTTCATTTCTTTTCATATTCTTTATGAATTAGATTACATATAAGTTGTATCATTTCTCCAACGATACGTTTTTGCTCATTTCCTGCGTAGTCATTATCTATTTGTCATTTGTCCAACGATATGTCCAACGATATGTCCAACGATGCATCTTAAGATATATAATAGTTGAATTTGTTGACTGTGTCAGTTATTTGTAGTTCACTAATTTGTGACCAATTTTTGTATCAAGATTGCTTTTAGTTGGCTGTATTAGCGAAGTTTAAGAATCGGTTACAGGATATGGTCAAGAGAGACCTTGAGAGCAACAGATATATAAGAAATGAGAATTTTTTTAAGTAACTGCTGTGGTGTATACGAAATATACTTGTCAGTTTCTTTTTTACAATATTCCATTTTTTTTTATTTTTCTTTTATTTTCGTTATAAAACCAGTTTCAAAATCTGATTGGATTACAGTCCATGAATTAAAAAAGAAAAAAAAAACTCATTTCATGATTTTCAAAACATGTATGCTAAAAAAAAATATATTATAACACACTTTTACATTCATCTAATACAAGATACAAGGGTAAAATGATCATGTAAAGTTTTATATTTTTTAAGAAAAGAAAAGAAGAAAAAATAAGTAAGAATAATGTCAAATGAATGTAAAAAATTTAGATGTGTCGAAGAAACATTTTTCATGTAAAAATTATCAAATCAGCATGTACTTTGAATTTTTATCTTTATTTTCTTCGATTCTAACTAATATTTTGGTAGTTTTGGCAGCAAGATAACGCAGAAACTCCTTCTGAAATGCTGCAGACTCTGGTTGTTTCTTCCTTTGTTCAAGAGAAGTTATATACAGAGGAAATGTGTTTTGTGCCAAAAGAAACTGTGATAAATATGACAAATCATGAAGATGTTCAATCAAGACCTACCATACTTAGGGATCTTAAACAGCTCATTGGGACAAACATTGCCAACAAAGAAAAGAAAGAATAAAGCTGTCCATGATATGTTGTTGTTTGGATTCTTCTCGCTGCCTTATTTTATTTTTTCAATTTTCTTAATATTTTGTTAGCAGTGTCCTCTTTTTAGCCAACAAAAATGGCAGTTTAAACTTTGTATTCAATTCGTGATTAATTTTGCTTTTTGGATGTACCAAGAGGCTAATATAGATTAGGTTAAGAAGAACCGAGGTTAGGGCACATTGCATCATTTTCGTGTTTTTTTGGTAATTTGTATTTTGTTTATCATTAATCCTTCGATCGACTAATGTTGTGCCTTTTTATGCTATACTAGAGATAGAAAACATTATGATGTTTTTTAAGAGAAAAATTCACTCTCCTTTTATTTATTTTTCTTTAATTATTCTTAATTTATATTTTCTTTTTCTATAAGTCAAAAGATTAAAACTTTTAAACATAATATTTAAAAGAATTCGTTACATATTAATCATTATAATATCAAAAATAATTACCACCGTAAAATTAATATTAAATATATTAGTTAAGAACTATAACTAACGTAAAAAACAACAATATCTTAATATTATCAATTTAAAAATAAAATCAGGAGAGTTCAAGAGATAATGTTTTGCTCTAAAAAAATTATATTTTGATTAAGTTATAGTGTAGAGGAAATTATATTTTTGACTCTAATATTATAATACGCTCTCTTATTGATAAGGTTCATTAACAACAACATTTCATACACTTTTGTCAACTGATTCAAGAAAAATCTTTATCCAAATTTTTCAAAAAGGGTAGTTTTCACCACCAAATAAAAAATGGTAGTTTAGGATGGCCTACTTTCCTCAAATAACTGTTTATATTTGCATCAATACGTAAGCTTAATGTTATGGTTAGACGAGACAATTTTAAAGAATTTAAAACATTTTATGCTGAAATGACTGATAAAATAATTAAATTTAAAAAACAAATTAAAATTTAAGAAAATTTGAAATATATTTTAAATAAATAAAATAGAAGAATTTGAAATATTAAAGTTTACTCGCTCTACTTTTATTTCAGTATGAATTTCTTTAATAATTGTTAAATTAAATTGTAAGTAATTTTAATACCATGTTTATATTTAGAAATTGTTACAATCTTTCATGGAAACACAATGTCAGGTGAGACAAAATATATGTGGCTTTCACAGTCAGATAGGTTGTTTTCAGGTGAAAAGATTCAAATACACTTTGAAAAAGCTACTAAAGAGCAATATAAAGTTAGTAAGAATTAGTGTAGGATTTGATTGACGTGATAGATTAAAAAAATTTACTTTCAAATCCACTTTCATTTACCTTTAAATTCACTCAAATAAACAACAAAAAAATTTATCTTCAAATTCTCTAAAATCCTCTCAATTACTCTCTCCCAAATCCATTGAAGTGAACAAAGCCTTAAAGATGACTGTGGATATTTTTTCTCTCATTATTCATAATATAGGTAAAAAAAGATAGGTTATTTGAAAATATATATTTTTAGATAACTTATTTATGATTTTAAATGATTTTTTTTACATTTTCAAATGTTCATATTAACAAGTCATTTGACTCTCCACCTATACCTCTTAATTTTCTTATTTCTCCTTTGACCAAAATAAACCTGTTTTGAGGGATCAGTTATTTTTGGACCAAATTTAAATTAGAATTAAAGTATCACTTCTCTAATTTACGTTATTAAAAGTTTGTATTAAATGTTCACATAAAATTAACATGAAACTCCAAATTTGACTGAAGAATGTAACTAATATTATTTATAATACTGTCTCTAAAAATTTCTTTCCAAATTCTTTGTAACAAATAATTCTTTAGAATATCTACACACACTTTAGTGATGTTTAACAATAGATAGAAACTACCTACTAACTATATCATTTAAACTTTTTTCTACCTTTTAACTATATATTTTTAAATTAACATTTTTCACTAGTACAAAAACAATCTATAACGTCACGCGTTCAACATCCTATCACAAAACAACCAACTTTAAAAATAATCGGTGACATTGTTGTAAATAAATTCACGTGTTCAATGTCGTTTAGACCATCCATATGATGTCTAAAACCAAATGACGTCTCATCGAATAGAGTTTCGGATCCTTTAAAAATCCTACACCTTCATTCACCAAACTTTTGCTTCCCTACATAGTTTTCTTAATCAAATTCATTTTGATAACTTTTTGTTTTTAAATTTCTATAAACTCTTTCAAGTTCATAAAAGTAAGACATTTCTTTACCTTTAATTCAACGTCAATATAAAATGTTTTTGTAAAGCTTGAAAGTATAATAGAAACTCTGAACAAAAAGTTAATGAATATGGATTTCTTTTTTAAATCTTTAAGGTATATGACGTTGGATTTTATGCTATTAATCTGATGTCATATTATATTTCGACGTCAGATTATATGTTAATCCGACATCATTTGATATATTTAGATGATTTTTTTTTTAAATTTGTTCAAGGTATTTTTCACATAATAAATCAGTTTGTTTTGAAATGTGATAGTAAAAAACACTTATAACAAAACTTAAATAATAAATTATCCAACATTTAAACTGTATTAGATAACATTATGCAATAACAGTTATAAGTAGTCAACCTCACTCTAATAATACCGTAATTTAGTCAACATTATTATTTCAAAACTAATAATAATGTCACAATTTAGTCAACATTAACATTTCAAAATTAATTCAATGTTTTCTTATAGTTTACGAAAACGAAAAGACCATGAAAACCGTTACTTAATTATTTTTCCTGCCAACGCTTTTCCCAACCTACGAATTAAAAGGTTAATAACAAAATTGTGATTGTTTTTGTCCCAAAAGCTTTATTAAATATAAATTCCTTTTATATATAAATAATTTCAAACCATACAAATTGAGTGCGTTTTCATAAGTGTAACATGGCACACACACACATATATAAATACATACTGAACCAGTCCTAATCTACCACATAAAATTCAACCAAATAAGAAAAAATTGCCAAAACATGCAAAGCTTAATCTCTTTTGTTTTGGTTCTTGCTTTTATCTCCCCATGCCTATGTTATAATGACACCAAAACTGGCCTTTATAATGTAATAAATTATGGTGCTAAGGGAGATGGATTATCGGATGATGCACAAGTATGTATCTTTTTGTTTTTGTTATTTACAATTTTAAGGCTTAATTGTAATTATTAATGTTACTATATGTTAATTCAATTTTTACAATCTCAATTGTGTAATATTTATACTTTGACTTGAGATCCAACATTTAACCAATATGTAAACTAATGTAAGGTTTTCAATGTTCTAATATTAATTTATCAGGTCAATACTTCCATTGAGTGCCCAAGTTAATGAATTGATCAAAACTAAACAATAAAAATATCGGAATACACTTTTAAAAGAGGTTTCGATATATAAAATGAATAAATTTTTATTTAAAAATTTTTTTATTGTGGAATTCATTTGTCAATTCTTTCTTATTGTAAATTATGATAACCCATATTTCAATTTGGATCACTCCATAATACTTTATCGATATTTATTAATAAAGTATTTAATTTATAAAACAGTAATATTTTCATGATGACGACAATTTTTAGTTTTTTTATTGGATATTTGTTCTGAATTGGTGGCAGGCATTTTTGAAAGCTTGGCAAAGCAGTTGTGGAGCACAAGGTATGGCAACTCTAGTCATACCTGCAAACTATCGATTCCTTCTGTCACCTTTAATGCTAAAGGGTCCTTGCCATGCCTCAAATATTCAAATTCAGGTATTTCTAATGTAACCCTAGTTCATTATTCAACTGTTGTTTCTTTTATTAAATTTTTGGTACTTTAAATTTCATTTTAAAACAAATTTTCTTCTAATTATTCTTCCATAAATATAAAAAAGTAAACGCAATTAATATCAGAAAATAAAACGTATTTTCTCTGTTATTTAATATTATATATATACATTAAAGTTTAATTGCAATATGAATTATAAATGTAAGCACACAGTTACAAATGTATATATCCTTACTGCACCTTATTAACAATTACAAATTGTTATTACAGCACTTTACAAAATATTACTATAGTGCCTAATGTCAAAATGAATTAAAACTCATGAATCAACCTAAGTTACTATCGATTCGGGTTAGATTAGTTTGAAAAAAAATTGAAATTTTGATACGGATTAATTTTGAATATAACTTAATAAGAATTCGATTCGTTGAGGTTGAACCTATTGAGGTTGAACCTGTGATGAGTCAGGTTCATTCGTCAATCCACTTAATTTTCTGTTTTTAGCTTGTTTTTGGATTATGTTTGGAGTTTAAGATGATTTTGGATTGTATTATATTTTTTTTATTTTGAATTGTTTTTGAAATCTAATATCATTTTGGATTGAAATTTATTTAAATTTGAATTAGAAAACAATTGTTATTTTTTTTGAAACGAAAAAATACTTGTCATTAAATAAGTAAATGAGTTAACCGTTTAACATATTCATTTGTTGTGAGTTTGACTGGATTCAAATTTTTTCGACTCACTAATAAATGAGTCAGATTGGTTTACTAAATGACTAATCTGTAATGAGCCCAGTCGAGTTGGCTAGGTGAACCGACTGCACTAATTATGAGTGTGATGAATGTTGTTGCAGATCCGGGGGAAAGTAATTGCAGCTGAGAAGAATGCATGGGCATCATATAAGTATACTTGGATTTTGATCACAAATGTAAATGGTCTGACAGTGGATGGAAGTGGAGGATCGCTGGATGGCTTCGGTTCTTCATGGTGGTCATGCAGAAACTGTCCACGTCCGTCGGTGAGAGAATATTCTTTCTGATATTAAAAGTTTTCACTAAGTTTTAATTAAGTTTAAGATTCTGATTCATGCGGGTGATGTGATGAAGGTCATTAGTTTCAATTCATGCAATGGTCTTAGTGTTAGCTCCTTGAACATCATTAACAGTCCAAAAGCTCACATAAACATAAACAATTGTGTGGGAGCCACATT